TTATGCCTGCTTGGGGGGGGGGAAGAGCGATCTTTTTAACCCTTCATCCCCTACACGAAAAGAAACGCATCTGAGCCGAGGACGATCTCCAGGCGGTTCAGCAGCGCTAGCAAAACGACTCCTCCTGGGTGTGCGTGTGTGTGCGTGCGCGTGGCGGGATTAAAAAAAAAAACCCGAGCCGACCGGGTTTTGTGATGTAGCCAGGTCTCTTTTCAACAGCTTGCTTGCTCTCCTCTTTCTTTCTTTCTCTCCTCCCTCCCCGCTCCCGGCAAGCCTCCGATCGCCCGCGAACGATTGCCGGGTTAAATTAAAGCCATTTGTTCCCTCCGCGGTTTGGAGAGGACTGAGACCGGGGCAGAGTGGAAGGCGAGCGGGTGGGTGCTGGTCGCCGATTGCAGAAGGACCGGGGCACCCTTTGCCAAAGTGCCCCCCCGGGCGTGCAGGCGTGCGGGCGTGCAATTCCACCATCGCCGCCGCCCACCCTCTTTCCAAAGTGCTTCGGCACAATAGCCTTCCTCTCTTTCTCTCTCTCTCTCTTTCTCTGTCTTTCTCATTCTCTCTCTCATCCCCTGTTTCTCGCGCCCTGCCTTCCCTCTCGGCCACCTCAGGCTTTTGCTCCATGAGAAGGACCTGCCCGGCGGCTTTTCAAGCAACTCATGCAGAAAAAGGAGAAAAGTTTTGGTAAGGTTTTGCCCTCGCGACGTCCTGGGTGCTGCTGAGATTTGGGTTTCTCCTCTCGCCCCCTCTCCTCCTCCTCCTTCTCTCTCTTCTTCTTCTTCCCCCCCCCCCATAGCCCCCGCTTGATGGGCCTTCAGCATCCCTGCTTGGGGGATTTTAGAAAGGGATTTATTGGGGGTGGGGAGTGGGAAGGCACGGATCCTGCACCCCCTCCCCCGGAGCAGGTTGGTCAGGCTAGCTGGACCTGGGGTGAGGGTGATAGTGGCGGTGAAGAGTCTCGCTATTCCGGACCAATTTCCTTTTAAAAAATAAATAAATCCCTGATTCTTTTTGGAGGGAATTGTTTTTATTAAGACTACCCAAATGAACATAGCCTACCCTCTTTCTCTGATAATAATAGCAATAATAATAACAAAGGGACCTCCCATACACACACACACACACAAATCCGTCCTGGTGCGGTTTGGGCAGAAATTAGCAGTGCCTGGCATGCATTAAGGACAAAAGAGGAAGGGGCCCTTTGTTGTTAAAGAGTAAGTATCCTCTGTGGTGGTTTGTCCCCCCCCCAAAAAAAATATCTCCCCCTTCTTTCCTTTTTTTTTTTGCATGTGAACTGCATCAAAATTGAGCTCACTCCTGCAAATCTCTTGTTGGCCTTTGCCAACCGCTAGCACTTTGCTGCCATGGTAACTGTAATTAAACTGATAAGAGTGGGG